TCGCTCGGCGGCGGTCGCCGTGCTGACAGGGTCGGGCTGAGGCGGTGCCGCGGGTGCGGGGGCTGTCTGGGGCCGGAGCCCGTGCCGGTTCTCTGGTTAATTTGAACATACCTAATTTCTAGCAGGCGGCGAGGGGTCGGGTTTTGCCGGGATTGCCTGGGTTTTCCTTGAACGCTCGCGAGGCTGTCCGTACTGCCAGCAGCAGCCCCTCCACCCCCAAATTAAGGGGGAAATCGGTCACTGCTTTGACCCGCTGCTGTCTCCTATCCCCCTCAAACCATGTGCCTGTGTTTAATTAACTCCCAGTCTACTCAAGAGTGTCACAAAAGCAGCTGTTTTAGAAGAGTAATCTTAGTATAACCCCCGTAGAAATATTGCAGAATAAGGGCCTCCCATTGGGGAAGTTGCTCTGGCGTACCTGTAGTGGTGGATGTCCTACAAAGCCAAACATTTGAAGTTGGCAATGTTTTGTCTTTGCTAGGATCTCCAAATGGGGATATTACATGAAATGTTTTCAGTGTTGATGTGCCTTAAGAGGTCCAACATGATATAAGCTTCAGCTATGTTATTTTTGTGTTCTTTTTCCACTGTTCCGGAATATTTGCTCTCATCCTGAAAAGCTCCTGTGATGTTCCTTTCCAGATTGCGCTTGCCAGTTTCTATGAGGACGGGGGTGATGAGGACATTCTGACTCTTCCGCAGCCGACTCCCAGCTCTATATCCAGAGGCACTGCAGCCAGGTGAGGAAAGAGCTTCAGCTCAGGCCAATCTGTTTAACGGCAGCTTGTAAACCTGACAGCGAAAACTGTTTGGGTAAAAACACAAGCTTTGTCTAAAGCATTGATGTATATTAATTTTCAGGAGAAATAGCTCTGTGTTCAGTTCTGCTTCACCCCGTATCGCTCTCTAGAAGTTGTGAAAACCTCAGCTTTTATACATTGCAAGCGTAGATGTTATTGCACAACTAATCCAAAGATCAGTTAGGACAACTTGCCTCATTGCTCAGGAAAACTTGATTTGTCTTTTGAGGTTAGAAGACAATTAGTTGGTAATGCTTTTGTTTGGGCAGATTGTATCTCCACAGGAAAAATATTTTCTAATTTTTTGTGACACCTAATCTGATCAAGTTGAGCATTTTACAAAAAGTAGTTAATTTTGCTGTACCAAATCCCTGTGCAGTAGGGAAATACTATCCAGTTTTAAAGAAAAGGAGTTACTGAGTATGTCTTGAAGGAAAAGTGCTCTTGGTTCAGGCTTTGGTGAATAAAGGCCATATTGCAGAAGAACCCAGTTTCAGTTTGGCTAACAGCCAACGACAGCTAAAAGCCTTGGCAGAAACAACAAGAGAGGAGGGACACGGAGGCTGCACTGTCCTGGGGCCGGGAGGAGAACCCTGTGCTTGTGCAGGTTTGGAAGTGATGGCTTCGGTATGCGAGTGAGGAAGGTGACTGAAGACTCGTCGCTTTTTCTGTGGCAGCAGCCGCCGTCTGTGCCCCCACCAGTGCATCTGCGCTTGTTTTCTGTTGGTGTAGTTGGCAGAGAGGTCCAAGAGTTTGATTCACCATTCGGTTACACCACTGCTGACCTGTCATTTCATAGAGTAATGAATCAGACCCTTAAAGCAGAACGGGTTCAGCCTAATTGCAGTGTTCAGGAGCTTTTGCTTATGTTGTTGAAATGTGTCGTGAGGCTGACGTACTTCTCTGACTTTTGCAGTGACCATAGAGTAACATCGTTTAGAGACCTTGTTCATGCACAGGAGGATGATGATGAAGAGGAGGAGGGACAGCGGTAAGTTTTCAGTTAAAGACTTAAAGCCTGTGTGTTTACCCCATCGCTTTTGTGATGGCTGGCGACTTGTGTAGGTTTTTTTTTAAAAGCAGATTTAAGTTGAGATGAAATTCCTGTTGTGAAAAATCTGAGGTTTGACACACAAAGGTTGGTCAGTACAAAAGCTGTGCACAAGCATCTGTTCAGCATGGTTGTATAAACATCAGTTTTCCTTGCTGAATTGTGCTGTTGAGAGAGTCTAAGGTAGGATGTGGAAGCCCTCGTTTAAGAATAGAAAAAAGCCCAGATCATCATCCGTGT